ACATACAGCTGCATGCATGATTAGGGTTATAGTTAACAGCATCCACATATATGCATGATTATATGGCCTTCCAATATGCATGCCATGTATTTTTTTCAAGTGAATGCTTCAACATATGCAATCTTCTCCACCGATTGGTCGCGCATTTTAATTAGCCAAAGCAACATATATGTGTTTCACTCTGGTCTTGTGTCCATGCATGAACTGTAATTTTTAAAGTTATCTATTGATTTTGTACAGATAGTAGAGATGATAGTGACCATGGATTGTGCTGGCTGCGAGAATAAGATTAGGAGTTCTCTAAAAAAGCTGAAAGGTATGGTGCAAGTTATTGATCCTTTTACATTTTTTGCGTTCTAAATATCCCGTTTGATTGAAACTTTTTCTAATAAATATCTAGATGGTAAGGGTATGAAGAAATGTCTCACATCGAAAGTTTAATTATCTAATTGTGGCTTGATTATAAATCGAAGTACTGGGGTTGCCGTATAAAATTAACTAAAACTAATTACAAAACCAAGACCAAGACCAAGGCTTTTTTCCCATAGTTAAGGTCCCAGATAACCAGACTGCCAGTATGGTTATTATAAATAAAATAATTAACGATATTAATTTTGATTACTATTGTGATTCTGACATTATTTTATATATGTACCAGGAGTAGATGCTGTTGATGTGGACTTCAACATGCAAAAGGTGACTGTAATGGGATGGGCTGATCAAGAGAAAGTTCTGAGGGCAGTGAGGAAGACCGGAAAGAGAGCCGAGCTTTGGCCTTACCCTTACAACCCTGAGTACCACAACTTTGGCCTTGACTACTATCAACAACATCAGCCGCTTGATCTGGATCATCATCATAACCGTCAGATTACCACCCACCATCTGCCCATCACTACCTACATTTCAGTACCTAAATCCTCCTCCTCATCATATTCCTACAACTACTATAAACATGGCTCCACTAATCAGGACCATGGCTACTATCAACCCCCTCCGTATTCCACCATGTTTAATGAGCAGGACATTGCTGTGTTCAGTGATGACAATCCTCATGCTTGTTCCATAATGTGAATCAATGTGACGGTGTACCTTAAAATATGTACAATTCTGGTTGTCCCGTGACCCTTTTTTGCGGCACGTTTAGTTTGAAGAATACATGCATACATATACATATGCGATGCTACGCGCTTGTTCACTCTGCAGAGTTATTATTGCGCAGGTTTCGTATGTGTGATGCAACCCATCTTAATCTACAGTTCATGACGGGGGCAACGATGTTTGGATTTAATTTGAAAGTTTTCTTCACTGCCTTTGTAAATAGGATAGAATCATGTATATCATATAAGCGTTGTGTATTATTTGGTTCCTCGTTTCCTTATATGATTGATATGTTATAATATAAAAAGGCTAGTGGTTCTAACTAACACCACTCTTTTAGCCTCACGTGCTCTATTTTGTGAGTCAAGAAATTATCTTTAGCATAGTCAGTATACAGTGCTAAATTATTTGGTTTATAAGACAAGTGTCAAATTCATTGTTCTACATTATATATAATAAAAATCTAGATACACCAAGAGTATAATCGGTCTCCGATTTGTAAACATAGATTTCGTTTGACACGCCGTAAAAGACTTCAGGATAGAACCACTTAATATATGAATTTTGTAAATAAAGGAGAAATTGTTGAAGCATAAATTGGCTGGCTCGGAACAAGTAAAACACTTTTCCTCATAAAATTTTTTTCTCTAAAACAATATATAACCACGTTTATTAGAAAGCACTACAAAATTCTTATCAAAACTAATTTATAAGAAAAAATACTTGAAATAAAAACAAAAAATTAACATGATCGACTAAGAAAGCATCAGGGTAAACCCTAACCCTATCTTTACCTTCTCCTTGAAGGAAAAGATATCTGGGAAAAAGTCTCATATTAGGAAAAAGTTGTTCACATTTTTTCTCATTTATTTATTGTCTCTCAAATGATCATACACACTTCTTTCCTCTATTTTTGTTTATTTTGGACTTTGAATTCAACTAATTAAAGAAGAAATAAAAGACAAAAATAAATAAAGCAGTGCACATAAAAAAAAAGTGTGAAAATCTTATTCGAAAAATTAGGGGTGGGCACGGGCTGGGCCGAGCCCAAAATTGAAGGGACCAGATCGGACCTGGTTGAAAATACAACGGGCAAGGCCGGGGCAAATTATACTATTTTCAAACTGAGAACCAGACCTAACCCGGCCTGTATAAAATGGGCCGGTTCCTACGAGTACCCTGTTTTGTTTTTTCCTTCTAATTTTCAGTATCTTCTCTAGCTTCTCTTGCTTAATTTTCTGCAAAATAACAAACAAACAATAACTGTGAAAAGATGTATCAGAATGACATTGCAAATATGATAAAGAAACAGAAAAAATCAAAGCATGGGTCATATTGTAATCCATTACAGAAACCAGGTGTTCTAATAGAAACCCCATCTGAGCGTCTGGCAACAAAAGAAAAACGAAGAAAGCGCCACCGGAGCACAGGTTGCACAAATCCAACTTCCTCGCCGAGAGAGAAAGCTTGAGTTGACCACGTTGTGCGCCTTCTCGGTTCTCTCCACCACTCTCCACTGTAGCTAGACGACTCAAATTGGGAGATCCAATTGAAAATTTCACAACTTTTCACAAATTTTGTAAATCAAAATTAAGAAATTGACAAAATTGGAAGAAATGAAGGAAATGAGTTACCTTGGTGTTGAGATCGGAGGAGGAGAAGGAGGAGTTGGTGGGGGAGGAGGGTGGTGGCAACATATCATTTCTCGGTGGGGTGTGGGTGTGGGTGTGGTGTGTCTGTGCTCCGGGAATGAGAGTTGTAAAGATGGGGGGAGAAGAAACAAAGCAGAGGAATGAGGGAGAAGGTTCAAGAGATTGGGGGAGGGGGAAACACGGGGAAGTGGAATGTGTGTGTGTGTGTGTGTGTGGAGGGTTCTGGAGAGTGAGAAATGTCATAGCCCATGAGGAGGAACAAAAAGAAGTGGGCCTGGGAGACAGTAACAGTAGCCAACACGGGGGTTGCAAACGGGCCGATCCGGGTACCCGTTTTTCTATAATTTTGGAACCAGCCCGAACCTAAAATTTCAAAGGCCCGCCCCACCCCTACCCACAGGCCCAAGGTCCATTTGCCCACCCCTACTTAAAACAAATAAAACTTCTATTTTTCAAGTCATTCTTTAAAAATCATATCCCTGAAGTTGTAGTTTTGCAGATATAATGACTTAAAAAATTGATGAGATAATTCTATCTTGAAATGATACTCAGCCTGATCTTGGAGTTCTCGGAGCCAAAGGTTCTTTGACTTAAACTCTAGTTTAATTTTACCGTGCAACATTGCAGAATCGAAAGAAAAACCGAAAAGAAAGAACTGAGAAGGTTTAAATGATAACTTTACTAATGACTACAAGTCTACAATCCTCAAAATAGGCATATTGGGAGTGGAGAAAGCAAGGAGCAAAATGGTTAGCAATCATCGAGAGATTTTTCATTGTGATCGGTACACGAGGTAATACATCATGTGTTACTATATAAATAATGAGATATGTATGTTAAAAAGTTAATAACTTAAAAAATAAAACTTTTCACCACTTATATAAAAACACGTGATGTACCACCCATATTTTCATCACAATATTATTTTTTTTTTTGCAATCATCAAGTATGGGCACTGCATGTATCCACGTAGTGGCCACTACCACACTCAGGCACTCGCCTCCCATTTAATTGCCTCCGTTTGGCGCCATTCGACATTGAGCAGCTCACCAAATTTGACATCATCTCCCATTTCCTGCCGTTTAATACATATCTTCATCTCGTCCGTTAGCATATTATTGTGTGCGTTTATTTATCATTACAGACGGGAGGAGAAGATTCGAACACAGAACAGTAACCTTACGCATCTCAGACACAAAATTATACAACTATTGTAATTAACGTATTTTATATCCCTTTTTGTCTTCTTTTTTCTCTGATAACAAAAGGTTTAAGAGGATATTGGTTACTCTAACTAAAGGCAAAATCTATCTATAACCTCAAGTTGGAATAATTTACGCATGATATCTAACTGCTAAGTATAGCTGGTATGAACTTACGTAATAATTTATAAATTGCACACAAATGAGACTTATAGCGAAACTCAAATTTTGGTGGGACGACATACAAAATAAAGAACTTACTAACCGAACCAACGTTGAGACACCAACATTGCACATTTCAAATACGTAGTTATACACTCATTACAATCGTCTACTCGGCAGGACCACTAGTTGCTCGAGTCAATGAATCTCCCAAAATCACCGATCAAGAAAAACTATTTGTAATAAAATAACACGCTTTTCTTAGATTATGTTTAGCAATAATACCAATATTTTGTTTAGACCAGATTATTCTACTTCTTTACCACTTATTTTCTTTTCGTTAAGAAACAGAAGTGTCAATTACAATTTTTTATATTTTACGTAAAAAAGAAATGTGATTTTCCTATTAATAGGCCACATTGCAAATAATAATCTTGTAATTTTCTTGTATTTTCAGTTTTCTTTCCTTTGGTGTTTTTACTTGTATTTAATCTCTATACTTTCAATTTGTTTTGGCGTTCATTTATTTTGTCAATTAAGTTGATTTTTCCGTTTATTTTTTTGCGCACATCTTCCCATTTAAAGAAGAAAAAAAATGTAAATTCCTGGAACAATTAAAGTGTTAAGGTGGGTATCAATCCTTGAACAAAAGTATGTTTAGTTTGGTAGTTAATTAATTAATTAAAGTTGGTAATTATTACCCAGAAAATAAAGATCGGAGCGCCGGAGAGCGGAAGAAAGAGACATGGGTGCATCGTATTTGTCAGAGCAACTCTCAGAAGGATAACAAGAAACATCACCACATTATTGCGTCGATGCCGACTTCCATCCCTTTGATTCAACCGAGAAATTAGGATCCCTCTCTCTCTCTCTCTCTCTCTCTCTCTCTCTCTCTCTCTCCTCCGCTCTCCCTCTCTATATACTATACACATACATGGCGTCCGCTTCTCTGATTCACGCGCGCTTTGGGTACTTACCGAGTTTCAGCGGCAATCGGCGGAACGACTCCCAGGGACCTCTCGGCTCTTCGTCCTCCTCGTCCTCCAGTTCGTCCTCCTCCTCTTCGTCTTTCAGCTTCGCTTCCGGTAATCAATTCTCTCTCGGTCTCATCCAATTTTCCCGGGAAAGTTTTGAGATTTTTGGCTCAAAGGTCTAATATTTGCTTAATTTTCGTCAAATTAACGGTATTCGATGATATTTGAACTAATTTCTAGTCGACATTTTTTGTTACAGGCATATATAGTAGTTGGAGAAATCAAGGTCTTAGAGCTCAAGCTATGACTAGTCAGGGAAATTTCGGACCCTCCAGGGGTGTTGCAAATGCAGAGGAGAAACCTGATCATCTTCTCGTCCTTGTTCATGGCATCATGGCAAGGTATATCTTGTTCCTAGTCTCATGGAGCTCTGCCTGTGATTGTAATTTGTTCTTGTTTTTATAAAGTTTACTCCTTTACGGAAATTGTTTACTTTTCATTGAAGCAAGTGTAAATGGTAAAGGAAAATTAGGTAGAGGGTTATGTAATGTGCTTGATTTTGTTTACTTGGCGCAAAACCGAGCGCAGTGACGTTCTAGGATTCATACAACCGACCCTGGATCCCACTTGGTGGAGTAAGGCTTGGGTGGTGTTGTTGGATATCTTTGAGTCTTTTTAGTGCTACTTACTACAATTTTTAGGTTCCACATGTTTGACGCTTCCAATAGCGCTTTCTGTGGTTCATTGCTTTCAAACTTTTGTCTCCTTGGTGCATATCTTTAGCTACTTTTTTCCCCAAATTGATATCGAGTTGACTGATTCTTAGTAATGCAGCCCAAGTGACTGGACATACGTGGAAGCGGAGTTAAAAAGGCGTCTAGGAAGAAATTTCTTAATCTATGGTAAATTTATGTTATTTACTTTCAGGCTTTCAGCTTACTTTGTTGACGGCTTTTAGACTAGGAAGGACAATCAGAAACCTCAACTGAAATGACCTAAATCTTATGCATCTACTGGGAAGAACAGATATTACGGTCATTAAGATGTGACAGATGGTGACTCGACATCAGATTGCTTTTTGCAGTTTCCATGTCTTTGAAATGCATGAATTTGATATAGGCTGTTGGTCTGTGAGTTGTTAACATCAAGGTTAATGAATGTGCAGCAAGTTCATGTAACACGTACACCAAAACTTTTTCTGGTATTGATGGAGCTGGGAAACGATTAGCAGATGAAGTGAGTTCTGACATTTATGAGCCACTGTTTAAAAGTTTTATGCTTTAAGTTTTGTTTTGAAATAGCAGATTATAGTTGCATAACCTTGGCATTCATAATAAACAGGTTATGCAACTTGTACAAAAGACAGAGAGCCTGAAGAAGATCTCATTTTTAGCCCATTCTCTTGGGGGCTTATTTGCAAGATACGCAATTTCTGTCCTTTACACACCCAATGATAGTGCCAGGTCAACTACTGCAAATACACGAACGGCAAGCTCTTTGAGACGAGGAAAGATAGCTGGGTTAGAGCCTATTAATTTTGTAACATTGGCAACTCCACATCTTGGGGTGCGAGGGAAAAAGCAGGTCTGTCTATCAACTTGATTTCATTGTATCTGTGAATTGATGCCATTTTGGACTCTTACTTCTTTACAAATTCAAGGTTTACTGTAAAGATAGTCCTTATACTGATAGTTTGAATGCGAGAATGGTAAATTGTAACAATGACCGAAGTGAATTGTTGACTATGTGTGTTCGATGCTTTGCTGTTGTATGATGAATTAAGATGGCTGTAACAGACTGATATCCAGTATATGGATCTACTCAAACCTTACCTTGAATTAGAAAATTTTAAATTCCTTTGATTTTCTTTTTTCTGCAGCTTCCATTTTTATTGGGAGTACCTTTTTTAGAAAAGCTGGCTGCTCCAATTGCTCCTATTATTGTTGGTCGAACTGGTAGTCAGCTGTTTCTCACTGATGGTAAGCCCGAAAGACCACCACTTCTTTTGAGAATGGCATCTGATTGCGAAGATGGAAAGTTTATGTAAGTACAGGTTTTATGTTGCTTTGCTGAATTTATTTTTCGCCAAGTTGTATAGTGGTTCTAACATGTTTCATTTTGCAGATCTTCTTTGGGCTCCTTCAAATCTCGGATTATTTATGCCAATGTATCTTATGATCGTATCCTACTTCATATAATCCATTTTGTTCTGTATTTAGATGACCTTATTAACTTTCAATTCATTTGTCTCTCTCCACACATCAATTTCCTTAACAATAAACAGATATGGTTGGCTGGCGTACATCATCCATTAGGAGGGAGACGGAAATATTTAAGGTGACAGATCATTCTCTGCTTAACCCATGCCATAATTAATTATTTTACTGTTGAGCAATTTAAAAAGTTGTTTGCGTTTGCAATTTAAATCTCACAAAACTTGTAAGCGCCTGTTGTTTGTATATGCTGTATGTAATACACACGCAATTCTATCTCAAAAGATGCCAAATAATGTTGTTACTATTTGACTTGGCTTAAAGTAGCGGAGCGTTTTTCAGCCAGGGGCAAAGCCAGTTTTTTTACGACTGAATGTTCTTTTTTTCCTAACTACAACTATATATTGGTGATAATTAGTCATAAGTTGACAGGGTCAAAGAAATTATGATCAGTTATGATGATGCTTGGAAGTGTCAATATTGTGCTGTGGGCGGGATGCACGAATGAGAGGGTGTAATCAGATAAAAAGGGTCATTCTTTTTGGCACTTTTTCGGATTTCATTACAAATTATATATGGGAAAGAAGCTTGCCTATGTAAATACAGTATATTTTTTTGTAGCTGCTATGATATTGTGATGTAAAATTGTTCACTAATCAGTGGTTATATGTAACTTTATTGGCAGCCTCCTCGCCGATCTTTGGACGGGTACAAACATGTTGTAGACGTGGAGTACTGTCCTCCAGTTTCCTCTGATGGTCCCCATTTTCCTCCCAAAGCAGCTAAAGCAAAAGAAGCAGCACAAAGCGAACCTAACATACAGAACACATTAGAATATCATGAAATTGTTGAAGGTACAAAAACGATAATTGCTAACAGAAATCCAGAATAGGATGATTGCTGATGAAGTCTAGCCTTTCCCGTGAACAGATGAAATGATACGGGGATTACAGCAGCTAGGATGGAGAAAAGTTGATGTCAGCTTTCACTCGGCGTTTTGGCCCTTCTTTGCCCACAATAACATCCATGTACCCCATCAATCGATCTTTCTTTTAACGAGATTTTCCTTCTCTGTTGTCTGGTTTTCTAAATCGATTGCTATTCGTGAATCCAGGTGAAGAATGAATGGCTTCACAATGCCGGCGTCGGGGTGGTTGCTCACGTTGCCGACAGCCTGAAGCAACAAGAATCCTCCTCCTCATTCATCACTGCCAGCTTATAGCTTCAAAGCTGTATGTACTATTAAGTGCAGTGTAGTTGAAAACTTGTAGAATAAGTTAACCTCACCATTTATTGGTCAATTAGCGTAGATCGCCTTCGCCTCTTTGTTGCCCTCGTATAAGCTTTAACATGTCCAAAGATGTATGGGATGTACATTTCACATTTGTACATGTAATCTGCAATGTGATCGATAAATGTAGTCCGTTAGCTTCGCTCTCGCGAAAAAAAGAAATTTATATAAAGTGACTTGCAATGAAAATTAGCAGCAAATTACACACAGAACCTCAGTTGCAAATTGCAATTTACATTGGATACTATTTTTTCTCTCTTTAATTAGGCTTTTTAGTCAAAATAGTCCTTGAGATTGGTTTAATTTCTTACTTTGGTTCCTTAGATTTAAAATCAGTAGAACTGGTCCTTGAGTTTGTTTACCGTTAATCATTTTGATTATTTTGTGAAAATCTCCGGTAAATTAGGATAGAATGACAAAAATATCCTTAATTTTTGTCAAATCATTTTTGTCCATTGCTTATTAAATTGAGGGTATTTTGATCGTTTTGGCCTTTGTTTAACAGATATTTTTTTACAGAATGATCAAAATGATTGGCGTTGGACAAATTTCATAAGCACTTCTATCGATTTCAAATCTCAGGGACCAAATTGAAGAGTTATGTCAATCTTAAAGACCATTTTTGCTAAAATGCCTATTAAATAACCAACATCATTGTTTCGTTTGGATCTGTCTTGGCTTCCTCGTGAGTCATTATGTTTTTATTTTGTGCATATATGTCAAATTGTTATTGGTTGTTAAGTAACTCTCGTATAATGAGTATGCAAATCACAAATTGACGCATGCAAATATAACTTATTAAAAACACAGAATAAATTTTTCTGCACAAATATCAAATTGTGATCGACAGAGAAAGAGAAATGCGACTTCTCAAAGAAAAATAATGAAAAGAACTTGAAAAATTTGAGTTTTAATGATAAGGACAAAATAAAGGATAAAGTAAATAGTATCAAAATTAATTTTTTAATATAAAAATATAATTTTTCGTTAAAATAAACAGTACATTTTCGTTAAAACTCTTAAGAAAAAAAGATGCATCGTTCATCTTGCATCCCACGTTCAACTGCTTTCCCCCGCCACAATTATTTTCCCAAGCCCGTCTAATCCACGCGCCCTGCCTAAACCGCAACTTGATATTCTCACGCGAAGCCAATAGCCAAGCAGTGCGTGCGCCCAACGTTTCGATCAGCGCGTGGATATTGTATGTCGGATTTTGAGTCGGCCGAATCCGGGGGCGTATCCGGGCCCCACCCCCAAACCGGTCCTCACCCACCCAACCACACCAAATGATGCCCGATGCCTTTTTCATAAAACAGTCCTTCTAGAGAGAGAAAGAAGAGAGAACTTGAGAGTTCACAGAGACCAGAGAGAGAGAGAGGAAGTGAGAGAGTGAGATCCGCTATGGCTTCCCCCAAGGAGAGAGAGAACTACGTCTACACTGCTAAGCTCGCCGAGCAAGCCGAGCGTTACGACGGTACCATCTTATTTCCCTCATTCTCTCACTATTTAATTTTTTATTTTTGGATGATTTTTTCGCTTCAGATTTCGTTTAATCAAAGCCTTATAATCTGTTTGGCTACCCAGAAAATCAAAGAGACCAGAAAAGAAAATTCACTTTCAATTGTCTTTCCCTCCTTTTTTTTTTTTTTTTTTTTTTTTTTGTAATTTTATTTAATTCTGAGAATCTGAAGTTCTTAACTTGGACACTGTTAGGAAGAACTTCTCGCAGAATTGATTTTGTTTTAGTAAAAAGAATGAGATCTGAGCGTTGATTTCTTTATTTTTCATGGAATTAGGGTTTTGACTTGCATTTACTTTGCCTTCTGCACTTTTGTTCTTTGCAGAAATGGTGGAGGCGATGGCGAAAGTAGCGAAGCTTGACGTGGAGCTCACCGTAGAGGAGCGGAATCTGCTTTCGGTTGGGTACAAGAACGTGATCGGAGCTCGCAGGGCTTCGTGGAGAATTCTGTCCTCGATTGAGCAGAAGGAGGAGGGGAAAGGGAACGATCAGAATGTGAGCCGTATCAAGGAGTACAGGCAAAAGGTTGAGTCCGAGCTCTCCAGCATTTGCAGCGACATCATGAGGGTTATCGATGAGCATCTCATTCCCTCGTGCACCGCTTTCGAGTCCACTGTGTTTTTCTACAAAATGTGAGTGGTTTTATGCTTTTGATTGAGTGTTTCGGAGTGGATTAAAGTGTTTGGCTTTTGAATGGTTTATTCTGTGTAATTGCAGGAAAGGAGATTATTATCGCTACTTGGCAGAGTTTAAGACTGGTGATGACAGGAAAGAGGTTGCTGATCAGTCAATGAAAGCTTATCAGGTATAGTAAGAGATGGTCTTTAATTTAGAACTCTAATCAGTCAATGATAGCTTTTGGCGTATGCGGCTTTTGTTTGCTAAGTATGGGGGACTCGAAGAGAAAAGAAATCGGCTTTATGAACTTTTTGTTACTCAAACAAGCAAAAAGTAAACATTTTATCTGCTGTTAATATTGGTACTAACTAAACCGGTATCTTCTTGTGTTGAAAACGACTATTAATGGTATGATTCATTTGCATTAGCTGGAATTGTGTTTCAGACACGGCAGCAATGCTGAACCTTGCATTGAACTACGTGATTTAATGGTGTGGCCGGCTATATCTAAGTATTAGGTTAAGTTCTTTTTCGTTAGATTGTCGAGATGTATGCTTATCGTACTTGTCCACATTTTGAAGCTACTCCCTTTTTTTTCTGAACAGCCTATTATTGAGATGAGGCGGCTTTGTCCATTTTCTCTCTTTAAACTATTGCTTCTGGCTGTTCTAATTAGGATTTTATATCTGACACTTAACATTAATATGTGTGATCTATGAGTAATGAGGATTGCGCAGAGGACGCTTGAAATGGTTATACTGATTTTGTTCTCTGGGCTCCTGTAATAAACTGTTATTACTGTTCTGTAGAATATTAAGATGATTGTGTACGTGGACAAATAGTTGATTTGTCACTTTGGGTTGTTTGTTATGTTTATCAAATTTGCAGGCAGCTTCTAGTAAGGCAGAGAGTGACTTACCCCCCACACACCCCATCAGACTGGGTTTGGCCTTGAACTTCTCTGTCTTTTACTATGAAATATTGAACTCTCCGGAAAGGTATGTGTGCTTATGCGACCAAAATTCAAGATATCACTTTTTTTCTTCGTTGGCAAAAGCAAAATTTGAAGGAAATAAATCTTATTAATTGCACATTGGTGCCTTGCTCCAGGGCTTGTCACCTTGCAAAGCAAGCTTTTGATGAAGCTATCTCAGAATTAGATACTTTGAGCGAGGAATCGTACAAGGATAGCACCTTGATCATGCAGCTTTTAAGGGACAACCTTACTTTGTGGACCTCTGACATTCCAGAGGACGGAGGTAATGATTTTATCTTTGTTTCCTTGTGGATTGTGGCTTTCTGGATAATGTTAGTTTATGCGGTTTAATTGTTCCCAACTTGTTATGTAGTTTCATCCAAGTCATGCGATGCTTGTTCTTGACTATTTAATTTTTGGGTTGTCTTTTGAGGAATCAATATATGAAATTGTGATTGTGAGATGTTTATCTCGCTATTAGTATATTAATGTTTGTCTCGCTATTAGTATATTACAATCATCAACACAATGAGAAATATTATAAGTAAAAGTAGAACAGACTTGTGAAAGTAGTGTGTTGTTATGTGTCAATGATGTAAATTATGTATATGTTTCCCTTTTGTTTCCCATCTCGAGTCTGGTTAGATGTTCAATCGCCTTTCCGTTTTAAATTGCATTTTGTGAACAATCCAGAGATATCGGGTATTAATATAATTCTTTGCTACAGCTGAGGATATCCAGAAGGCGGATGGCGCTGCTAAACCTGGTGGTGAAGATGCAGAGGTATAGCTTATTTGGTCATCCCACCCATCAATTTGTTCTTTCATTTTTCGGCCATATCTAGCAAGCGTTATAATTATTTGGTTTCCGGGTCTTCAACATCCTTCTTTTCCTTTTCTTAGTGAATGGAAGCGGCCTATTAGTGTCCAGGGCTTGTGTAATTTTACGGATGGAGAAAGTGGATGCAGGGTCTCTTTTCTTATGGTGTTGTTAATTTTTCTCCGGTGAGATTCTAGTTAAATGCTGTTGTTCTGTTATTGTTGCGGTTGTAGTTCCCGCTACCCTGAAACGCAGAATTCATCTCTCTCTGACTTAATGTAAAAGCTTTCTTCTACGTATCTAAATTTCAATCCTCTGTTTGTGGAGAATGTGATTTATTTGCTGAATGTTTAATTTGTTTTCTTCCTAAAATTAGAAACGTTATAGATATGTTTTAACCAACGGAACTTTGTTTAGCCTACGTATGCATCAATACATGGGAGTAGGATTCCTTCCCTTCATTTTTTTCCTCCCCTTTCCTTCCCGCCTATTTGAACGGTTACAGTTAAGACACGTCAACATCTTATATTAATTTTTTATAGAAAGGGAAAGACAAAATAGAGAATTTAAGAGAAGGTCCCTACTCCCAATAAATGATAAAGACTGTTTCTAAATTACTTCTAATACTTCTTTTATTATTGAACTAGTACAAGGTTTTACGAAAACTCACTGCTTTTAGTTGGTTTCGTGAAATGGTACAAAAATCATCATAAAATATATTTTCATGTAGCCCTCGGTGCATCACAAGCTTCGTGTAAAGTTATTTAAAAATGCTCAAGATGAAGGAATTCTGCTCTGGCATGTCTCTTTTATTGGTAAGTAGTAACTAGACGGAGAGAGTTTCAAGGAGCAAAGAGCGAGTCAAAATAATTGTCTTAACCACAAGTAAACAAGATAAGAAATGACAACCTCAGAAAAATAACTGCTAACAAGAAAATCAAACAAATCCCGTCCTATTTTCTGTATAGAAAAGCCATCCCCCTCTAATCTGCACATATATAGTCCTCCTCTGATATCCAAGCAAGAAAAAAAAAAACGCGAAATTTAACCTGACGATGGCTAATTCTAATAGTATCTTTCTTGTCTCTGCCCTTTGCTTCTTGTCGCTCGTCGGCGTCGCCTACTGCGGCGAGACCCTCAATGTGCACGGCATCGTTTACTGCGACAACTGCCGCATCCAGTTTGTAACCAGAATCAGCGAGACCCTCAAAGGTACGTATGTTCAACCTACAGTACCTGATGCATTATCTATATATAGTTAAAACTTAAGAGTTACTAAATATAAAACAAACTAGATTGATACTCGATATCAGACAATTTCTTTTCTCTTCCCTGACGTTGCATTGCATGCATGGAATGGTACGTATGTGCAGGTGCAAAGGTGAGATTGGAATGCAGAGAGAATGAAGGGGGGAAAATAACTCTAAGCAAAGAGGCAGACACCGACGACTTAGGAACTTACTCCATTCCGGTGGAAGGAGACCATGAAGAGGAGGTTTGCGAGGTGATCTTGGTGAAGAGTCCCAAGGAGGACTGCAGCGAGATCAGCAACGAGCTTCATGTGAAGCTCAGCGCGAGGATCAGTCTCACGAACCACAACGGCATTACCGGGCCTCATCGCATGGCTAACCCTCTCGGTTTCATGAAGAAGGAGGTTGATCCTAAGTGCGCTGAGGTCCTCAAGGAGCTCGGACTCACCCCCGATGGCGACATTGATGATGGCGGTGCTGAATAAGCCATCAATAATTTTACATACTTAAACAGTAGGAATCGATATCCCGGCCTTCATTTTTCGATCATGTGTAATCAATAAATGGGTTTTATTAATTTCCCCTACTAATCCAACGTGATGTATGAGAGATGTAAAGTATACATCGATCGATCTATCGATCTGCGGTAGTAGTACTTAATTGGGGGTATATTTTTGTTAGGGTTAGCTGCAATATTCTTCAAATCTTGATTAATCAAGTTGCTTGTGATCAGCTGCTACTCCTTTTTTCTACATACACGCACACGCACGCACACACACACACACACACACACACACACACACACTTGGTCTGGTTTGGATCATTTGCTTGAATTATTAGTTTCAGTACATATTCATTTTTTTTCCTTTTAATCACGACAAGGTTTCACGCAGTCTCCTTAATTAATTATCTGCTTGAGTTTTTCTTCTTGACATAATAGAGGTTAAACCCTTTGATCAAGGACCTTAATGAATCTTGTTCATGTTCTTTGCAAGGCCGAACCATAAAAATTGAGTTTGTGATATATATTACCCAAGTTTCTCCTCCTCAATTGGTAGCTTATACAAAAAGAGTTTGTGATCATAAAGTGCGTATAAACAATAAAGCAAATTCTATTAATCTATGATTTCTAGCCATGAAAAAAAAGTATATGATTCCTTGGCCATTCACAGCAATGTTATTCTTTTTCTTTATATATGAATCTGAATATGATACTATGTGTATCGAACTTAAGATGACGGAGGACAGAGTTTGTGTTATTTTAGATGTAGGAGAGTTAAAAGAAGGAATCGTCATTTAATTAAGAAAAGTGATTGGAGAATTGGTAATTCAGGGGTTAAAAAATTATTTACTGCAGTTATATCTCGAAAGTGGATGTTTTGCACTTTTCAGGTTGTTCGGAAGAACACCACTTTCATCATTTGGCATGTCAGTTTGGGCCCGTAATATATGAATTCGAAGAAAATGCAACTTTTGCAGAAAAATGCTCTCCCTTCTCCCACAAAAGTGGTGGTTTGAGCCATTTTTCAGAGAAATCTACAATTTACTTAAAAATGAGGGTTGTTTATTATTTGTCTTTTGGGGTTTGAAGGGGTTTTATTGCTTGTCTTTTAGTTTTCTCAAGCGAGCTTTTATAATATGTTCTTAGGCCTCGTATTGGGCATCTTTCATTCAATAAAAATTTAGAAAACGAGAATTTCTTTCACAACTTATAGTATTCCAGAAATTCTTTCCAAGAGTAACTGAGGTTCGTAATCCCTAAACCTAAACTTCCGCCAAGTCATAAAAGATGGAGGAATAAATTGTTTTTAAACTCGTCATCTTTATTAGTTATAATTACAAGTGAAGAATAGGACAAATAGATATGTATAAAGAGAATTCTCATGCTAGTCAAACAGAAAGGTAATATGGTAACTAAATACCATTTGCCATAAACTTTATCTATCACAACCATTCTACTTTCTCCCCCAACTCAACTGAATAATAAGTGAACAATGTTGTAGATCAGCTAAGCAAATGAAGCTACAATCTAGACCTTGGATTGTGTTGTTTTCAATTTCCTCTCTAATGACTTATACAACATTTAACGGATGATATTATAGGTGCCCTTATGAGCCGATCTATTGTTATTAATGATATGTATTAGTTTGTCTGAAGTGTCTTCACCCCTCTAGTCACCAAAAAAAAAAAAAATCTGAAATATAAAGGATTGTTTATTATCTAAAATATAAGGGTGATATATAGTAACTGAACAATCATTTGCTATCACAACCATTTTACTTTTCCTCACTCTATTATAATTTGAAGTAACTTTCAGCACATCAAAAACTTTTGTAGGTCTACAAAGCTTGAATACTCTTGCATACGGTTCAATAATTTAGCGAATAAAATATTGGGTATCTACCCATGCTTTTCGGATTCGAAACTTCTCATTTTTCTAAATTGTTGTAATCGTTTTGAACCATCCCTATATCCTTAAAAATAATAACAATGTGTGTATATATATATAAAACTTGAATACTCTTCAACAGAAAGGCTGTGTTCTATTAATATGATTACATTTTTCCTCATTACATCACAAACCCAAAGAATTTGAGAAGTTGTGAGTGACCATAATATTCTCATGTCATGTTATTAATCTATGTGCTATAATATAAGTGAATATACATAAACGATAAGGTCGATGTCTTATTTTTAGAGGATATTAATTAAATATAAAAACAAAAACACGTTTGTTATAATTTAAGTAAAATAATAACACCACCTAATGTTATGAGTAAATTCAATATTCTTCGACCATATAGTTGATATGCTATAATCTAAAGTATAATATTAATAAAAACGTACCCATGTATAAATAAATTAATATCATGTAACGACGTGATTGTAGTCTAATATATAAAGTGTATACTTCTTGAAGTGAACAGTCCACTAAATGACCCATAAACGAAAACTAACCCGATTAATCTAAGAAACCGGGTGCCCGCTTCCCAAATTATATCACCCGCATACGAGAGAAGAAGCCAAACCCACTCGTGTCGTTTTTCTACCGATTTTGGCCCGCTCCTTCAATTAGCCGCCGCAACCCGCCGTCAGTGTGGTTCTCTTTGCCTTCCACCGCTCACTGCTAACAAGTACGTTCCTTTTCTGCTATTCAATTTTCCTTTAGTTTTCTTGTTCGTCGAAATTTAAACAATTGTAAAAGTTTCAATTTTTTTTTTTATTTCTTTGAGTTTTTAATTTCATCATTGAAGGCCATGGCGGCAAGGGCTTCCAGAAAATTGCTGAGAGACTTTTTGTTCAAAAGGGCATGCGCAGCTCCTGTTGCATGTGCCAGACATTGTTCTTCTGCTGCTCAAACTGCTCCAAAGATTCCTCATTTTTCGAAGAAAGTACGCTCTCTCTCTCTCTCTCTCTCTCTCTCTCTCTCTCTCTCTCTCGTTGCAAATAATCACAGAGGAAGAACTATGAAACTTAAAGTGTTGATTTTTTTTCCAGTAAATTTTCAAACCCATCTCTCCAAATTGGTGTTTTTCACTTTTCCTTGCTTACAATTTAATTTTGGTCGATTTTTGTTCAACATCTTGCATGTTTTAAGAAAATTTTGTTTGATTTTCTGAAGTGGGGTGTGTACCTGTTTTGAACTGTAGGGGAGGTTGTTGACGGCAGCCACCTTAGGCTTAGTTATCGGTGGCGGAGCTTATGTGAGCACTGTGGATGAAGCAACTTTCTGGTACCGAATTTCATTTTTCGAGTCGAAGTTTTGCTCTGTTTGCATTTGAACTTTCTTTGGGTTTACCAGTTGCGGTGTTTATGTTTATTTCCAATGACTGTTATCTTAACCAAGCATTCTATCAATGAGAAGATTATGATCGTAACAGAGGTAGAACTCTTTCAAGGCAATCTTGGATGCTTGGATTTTGTATATTCTAGTGCTGCATTGTTTCAACCTGTGTGAATTTTGTTTTGGAGGAGGGCGAATTTCTGTAGATTTCTCGTAGTCACCTAAAAACTTTGGAATTAATACTCTTTAACTGTGAAATCATAAATTTCTTGTGCTAAGTTTATAGGCGTCTTGAGGCATTAAAGAATAAACCTTCTGTTTCCTGCGATGCACATTACTTATTGGTCAGAGTGTAAGGGTGAAGCCTTTCACAAGATACTTGTATCTGTTTCTTTACGGGTTTAACGAGGCACCTAAAGGATCAGTTAAAAGCATGAGCACTTAATTCTCAATTCATTTATCTTCGTATTTTCTTTTGCCAAGATGGTATTCGACCCCATCATGATGTCTGGGTCTTGGTGGATGCACTAAAGACTGAAATTGGAATTTCTTAACTCATTGGTAATTCGATGGTACTCATTAGGTAATAAATTATGAATTGCCATCTCGTTATGTTCTGCATCGTTCTTGTCATGGCAGTATGTTTTTTCTAGTTTGTACTTATTTCTGTGTATTAAGTAGAAACCACGTAAGCCAATTCATTTATCAGTTTGTTGAATGGCTTAAGTTTTTGTGAAATATTGAACTTAAAAATTAGTTACATTTATTGCTAATTTTTGGATATCAACTTTTTGAAGTGGCTGGCTATTCTCAGCTACAAAAATTGTGAATCCATTCTTCGCTCTTCTGGATGCTGAGGCTGCTCACAGATTGGCTGTCTCAGCTGCAGCACGTGGTTGGGTTCCTAGAGAGAAGAGACCAGATCCATCAAATTTAGGGCTAGAAGTTTGGGGAAGGAAGTTCTCCAACCCTATAGGTCTTGCTGCTGGCTTTGATAAAAATGCCGAGGCAGTTGATGGTTTACTTAGTTTAGGGTTTGGATTTGTAGAGATTGGCTCTGTAACCCCTGTTCCACAAGAGGGCAATCCAAAGCCTCGTATCTTCAGATTGCGTGAGGAAGGGTAAGAGTATATTTTATATTCTTATTATGTTGTTCTGATTAAGGCATGAATTTCCTCCTCGTATGTTGTGTTGAGTCACTTTTAAAGGTGGTGTAGGTACTTTGGCTCCTGAAAGTTTTCTTTCTGATAAGTTGGCTTGGTTCCATTTATTTTTCTAACTTATGTGTTATCAATCTACCTGATTATGTGTTCAGAGCTATCATCAATCGATGTGGCTTTAATAGTGAAGGAATTGTTGTTGTTGCAAAGCGATTGGGTGCTCAACACGGTAAGAGGAAGTTGGATGAGACTACAAGTTCATCTTCTTCAGGTGAAGAAGTCAAACCTGGAGGTAAAGCTGGCCCCGGCCTACTAGGTGTGAATCTTGGGAAGAATAAGACAAGTGAAGATGCTTCTGCTGATTATAGACAAGGGGTTCATACATTGTCGCAGTATGCTGATTACTTGGTAGGTTTTTCTCTACCAACCCAACTTGTATAACAAGAATTCACTTTTTTCCTTGGTACTCACAAATGCATCAACTTCATTGTGATGCCTGTATTAGTTTAGTGGCCAACATCTAATAAGATATGTTGTTATTGTGTTGGTTATCCATGCGGAAAAGCAAGGAGAGATGAATTTTGAATAGGCCTCCTTCTTGTGGTCTTTTAGTTGATTCATTCATTTAAAAGTTGCATACTTTCATACCATCTTTTGGCTAGCCTTTCAGATCTCACAAATTATACAACAGAATTGGTCAGGTGGGCAGCAATATTCAGGAAGTCCAATTTTATTTACTTGAATAGGATATCAACAATCAAACTTGTATCTGGAAATGATTCAGATTAAATGTTATAAAAAAGTAAAAGTCGTTCAACTTCAGCAGTGAAAGCTGAATTTGTAGTTGGTTGGAATCTGTGATTGCTGAACATCCAATTCCATATCATCATACATAATCGTCCATGATTCTTTATATTAATCCTCGGAAGTTAAGTTGTTGGTAATAATTTCCAAACTAAAAGCAATGAGGTTTTAGTTTCTGTGTATATGTGTCGAGTTCAATTCCTGTTGCATCAATTCGATCAAACTTATGCTTATCTGCCTGCAGGTGATAAATGTTTCATCACCAAACACCCCTGGGTTGCGTATGCTTCAGGGAAGAAAGCAGTTAAAGGACCTTGTGAAGCAGGTATGGAGCTCAAAGCATGAATTTTCTATTTTTATTAATCACAATGTCTGCAAATGTTACCTCCTGTAACACTTTCTTCCTATCAAGGTTCAAGGTGCTCGTGATGAAATGCAATGGGGTGAGGAGGGTCCTCCTCCATTGCTTGTGAAAATTGCTCCTGATTTGTCTAAAGAGACCTTGAAGATATTGCTGCAGTATGTATCCGTGCTAGTAATTGATTTTCTTATTCACCCCTTAACATGGTTTTCTCATGGTTCTTTGTTTATGGATATAGGTTGCCCTTGCCCTTCGCTTGGACGGATTGGTATGTTTTCTTCCAATCACAAACTTACCTATTATACTAGATTAGCATTTCATATTTCTTAATAAGAAGAACCTCTACTTAGTCCTTTTGTTCCTAAAGAAAATGGAGAAAGTTAACCTTAGTCAGTTCCCGCTGCGTGTGGTGTTCTGCATGTTGATATGTTGATGAGGTTATGATTATACATAACATATTTATCTTTCAGTATATTGGTCTATACTTAAATTCACTGCAATTTCTTCTACTCTTTATGATGTTTATTTACTTTTTCTTCTAGATTATATCAAATACAACTGTGTCAAGACCAGAAACTATTTGTAAACACCTGGTGGCTTCTGAAGCTGGTGGCTTGAGTGGGAAGCCACTTTTCGATATGTCTACCAATGTCTTAAAGGAGATGTACATTTTGACGAGGGTATGTTGTCTCTTCGTAACTCATATAACCTGTTATCCACAATATTTACAGATTCCACTTCTTTATTATGTTTGATTACTTAAATGTTTGAAGATGCATGAAGAATTTTGTCCGGATATGTCATTTCTGTACTGATCTTTCATCCTGCATGGCTTGACTACAAGAAAAGTTGGACTATTGATAATTCTTCTGTCTCTTACATTACAAAGTATAGAATTATGAAAGTAAATGACTTAAAATGGATTGTATCCTAGCTTCATGTAGAGTAGCTTGTCATTGTTTTCGGGTCTGATGACTATGTGACATTCACTGTAATTCAACTGGTGCCAAACTGATTTTCTTTTATTTACTTGCTATGGAAGGCAGTTTTATGGCTTGAAACATGTAGTCCTCTTTCGGATCTATGTGAACTATTTGTTTACAGTCAATGTTCTTCCCTTTTGGTTTCATTTATACGTTATATATTAGAGCTTGACCGTGTTAATGTAATATCATTCAGGGAAAGATTCCCTTAATTGGGTGTGGAGGCGTTAGCAGGTAAGATCAGAATCGTCCTTTGATCTTGTCTTCGTTGACATCTATTTATTCAGAATTAGAGATGCTCTTGTTTTCAAATCTTGATTATTATTTTGTCAAACTTGATCTTGTTCATGCCATTAAATTAGTGGTGAGGATGCTTACAAGAAAGTACGAGCTGGTGCGAGTCTTGTTCAGCTTTATACAGCATTTGCTTACGGGGGACCTGCTCTCATCCCCCAGATAAAGGTATTTTCTGATGCGTTCGTTCTGCATAAACCTTTTTTTTTCGCCTAACGTCAAAGACGTGCATATAATACTCATTTTATTCTTCTTAGGCTGAATTGTCCGAGTGCTTAGAAAGGGATGGTTACAAGTCCATCAGTGAAGCAGTTGGTGCAGATTGCAGATGAGTTTTGCCCCAGGTATAACAAAATATACATGCAGTGCCCTTATTTGCGGAGCAAATTTCTACGTTGCATGGTGTAAATTTTGGTTTTTTTAACCGATTTTATTTTATTTTATTTTTCGAGAGGGGGTCGGAGAGGACCCGTAAAGTGCGAGAAATTTTGGAAAGAGGCATTATTTGCAGTTTGTACTGTAACCTTTGAACTGTGAATGCTAAATTTAATTGTAGCAAAATGGAAAAGAAAAATCTGTTGCCTTAGAATTTATATTTACAAATTCAAAACCTGTGTGTTTTTATTATTAAGTTATTGCAAGCTAACACATCCACTGAAGAATGTGAAGGTTTTATTTATTTATTTATTTATTAAGTTATTGGACCGCAGTTTATTTATTTATTTATTCTTTACCGAACGACAAACCTTTGTTTATTTAATTTGACCTAATTCTACCAAAGAAAAAGGGGAATACAAAATTTAATTTTTGATTTTTCATCAACCAAAATGGACCTAAATATAAAGAAGTTCTTCATTGACGGATAAATCTTGTAGAAATGCTGCGGGATTTGAGCGGGGTTAATGTATTGTGCCTGAAACACTAGCTATTCATATCCCGTCACTATCTCTTATTTGGAAAAACCTTTTAAACACAAATAATGCTTTTCCCCTATTACTAGTATTTCCACCGCCCTCAATCACTTTGAAACACATCATTTATTCTCGAAATTCTAATTCCAACCGATTTTCCTTCATGTTCCACATTTTTTATTAAAGAGAAATCTTGGTAGATTTTTTTATTAGGTCAATTCTTACACTAAGTGAGACTAGTATGACATCATATCAGATTAAATTTTATTAAGTCTCATATTTTTACGAGTAGTGCCCTATGAATCAGATGGTTCATAGTCATAAACTAATTGAATTTTCGTCCATGGCCGTTGGATTTGATCGTGCGGTTGAAAATGAATGACCGGATGACTTGCTATGACTATTATATTGGCAAGTAATTAAAATTTGAGAATTTAGGATTTTGGTGCACAAAAATGGTGACAAGTAGGGTGTTTTCCAATAAGACATCAAAACACCCGACTTGTGAACAGTAATATATATTGCCAAAGCTTATGAAAATTAAAATTCTCTTTGAATTTCAAAGATTGAAATTCTCTCTCTTTTTTTTTTTTTTAATCAATGACGATCTGGTCCATTTAAAAGAAGAATTCAGTATAAGAAGGGGAAGAAGAAACCAGCCTTCCTGTGTCTGAGTCTCCATTCATAGTTTCTCACATTCTTTCGTATGTCCTTCTTGATGGGATATTTTTTTAGTGTACCAAATCATACGCCTGACACATTAAAAAATTTCTCATCTTTAATTTAAGTTTTGTGCTCACTTAGCCAATCTATCCGTCCACTTGTTACATGGTCAACTGTTTCAGGCCGCATAAAATATTTATTTATGTGCTCATTTGCATGATTGAGTTCGATTCCACATTAATTTCCGTGAATTTTTTTCTTTTCCGACCGATATTAATTCCATCCACATATTAATTATATAGGGATGAAAGATTGCAATACCAATTTGTGTGTGTGTGTGTGTGTGTACAAATACACACCAATAATTACCATTAGGCTAATTCACAATACACATTTTTCAATTTCGTGAAGTTACTATTATATATGGAATATTGTGGAAGAATAAATTAGGACAATATGATGATTCAGCTGCATGGTTGACCACCTGAGCCGCTCCTCCGCCTCTTCAGCACCGGGAAAACTTGGTGAAACCCGCCTTGTTCTGCGGCCACATGCCACTCTTCCACCACCCCATCCAACTCAAACTGGTGCACCACATCTGAACCCTCATATACACAACCCTCCGGGAACCCGGCCATCCCCTGACAAGGCGGCTTGGTTTTCCGTCGCCCAGCCCCCACAGGCACGTTCCGTAGGGCCCCGCCGGCCGTCCAGTACCTCTGGCAGCCCTTGCAGAAGTGTCTAGGTTGGTTAACATTGTAGTTATTGAAGTAACAAAATTTAGTCTCCATGCTTTTGCATCTTGGGCATGGTATGATCCTATCTGGCCGCTTCTCCACCATTTGATCATCTTTTATGGGTTCTTCTTTTACTTGTGATGATCTGTTCTGCAGTGTAATCATTTTCCCGAAAAGCTTAATTCCATGAACATCTTGGCCGTTTTGGACCTGAGCCATGGGATTTGTTTGAGAGAGAGAGAGAGAGAGATGGTTTATGTTTTGAGAAACATACACCTTGTATGGTTTAAGGAAAGGTGTTGTGCTACTACGAGTGCTTATGTATTTATAGAGGAAGTGAGAGGATAAAAGTGCTTAAATTAAAAGCAGGATTGTATGTGTAAAATCCATATGACAGCCGCCAAGAGCTAGGGCAGGTGGTTTGCAAAAGTTGACGGTGAGCTTTTTGTCCACATCATTACTCCACGCTATCATCATGAAGTCTAAAAGTCGATCCCAGTCCAGGTAGGTCGCGTACAAAGTGTTAGTGGTTGATGGATGGGAAGCATAAAGAGACCGATTAAAGCATGTTTTGCTAATGAAAGTTGTCGTTGTGTGCATATTATACCCTAAAATCAAAAGTTGTGGAAAAATAAAAAGCAATAAAGTAAAAGTGCTTGCTTTGAGAAATCTCAATGCATTAGGGTTTTTGCTTTTGGTTGATTAAACAAAACCAATGCGATATCTAATTAGCGACTTTAAGCAGTACTGGTGAAGCAGAAGCTTTGTATCTGGAAAACTTTATATATACTTTCTAAGAAAAGAGAAAAATGAAAGATTTTAGTTAGGTGGTCTTAAAGCTAGAGCTTTTTTAGAAAGCATGGATGGAGAACAAGGGGGTTTCGATATGGTGCTAGCATATGGTGCTAGCATGATTTCAAAGGTGCCAATTACAGTATGTTTCATCCAGATATCAGTAATCACTTTAAAGATCTATAATGGTATTATTTAATGGATAAAGAATCAATAGTAAAGATCCAATAAACGAGAAAACACTTTTGTATGGTTATTCAATCACGCTATTCATATGTATATGTATCTTTTACAAAAGCATCAGATTCTTTGTAATTTAGTCTTATTTAATCTAGCGCTTATCTTATTTAGTGTGAGAGCTGCTCTAATTAAACGAAGTTACTGAAATTTCTATTTAGATGACCAAGGCAAGATTATTCAATCTAAAAAAGAAAGGTGAAAAAAGAAAAACTTTACGCATCTATACATGCCTTAAATGATTTTTGTTGTCCTATCAGATTCTGCCAGCAGTGAGCCAGCATAAATGCCTCCTAGGAGGGGATGCATGTCTTACATATATATTACTTGAACTATGTTTTATAGCAATTAGGCGATGTTTAAGGCATGTTATTGGGTCATTCAAGTGGGATATCACTTGTGCTACTAAGATAATGTTATTGCTAAACACTTTGTTTCAAAGCCATCTTTTCAGGTTCCAATAGATTTGATGATTAACTTTGTTGCTTCCTTTTGATCACACTTTGACGCTTGACATTGTAGTGTTTGTGGTCCTGGGTACCTTTCAGTTTGCAATAATAATAATAATAAAAAGCAATGTGAAAATAATGGGATTTCTTTCTAAGAAATGGTAACAAGATTTTCTCAAAAGTAGAACTTTTCATTTACTTTTTATCACCTTATGTTTTTTACATAATATTTTATAATTTTGACACGAAAAATTGACGTTAAACTGAGAAGTGTCGAGAGTTCCTTAGCATGCCCTTTTTCTTTAATAAAGGAATCTTTATTCAATTTAAATTATGCAAACAAGGAACCTCATTTCCAACACTTTTCATAACCTGCATAACGCAGACAGACAAAGTAGCACAATTCAAAAGTCCCTTTTAGTCAAAAGATTAAAGGATATGTAAAGAACAAAGTGATTTAATTGAGAGCATCTTTTTGATGGTTTGGGGTACCTCTTTTTAGGGGTGAAAATGCCTTTCTAGTGTGCCTGTAAAGAGAATAAAAAAACATCACAAGAATAATATTGGCATTTCCTTTCTCATAGCCAATTTTGAAGTTGAAATGTTCAAATTATTCCCTTAATTAGTTCAAGGTAATTTTCATTTGACGGGCATTTACTTTGGAACTAAACAAGGTTGGTAGGTTAATCCTAGGTGGCAGATGAATGTATATAACTTGCTTCCCCCTGGCAATCCGAGAAAAACTTAGATAGAATTGACTAACCACGTTATACGTAGAACACTTCTCACAAAAATATAAAATATCAAGTGTGTTTTGTGTCCAACACAATTTAAAAGTAGTTCTCCCAATTTAAGAGATACCTTAATCAAACAATTCTACTGGAGTTTCTGTTCTATACTTCCCATCAAATCACGCTTACGGTTGTTAATTTGTAATATCACATTTCTCACTTTTTAAGAGAGGAGATGTGATATGTCCTCTAATATCTAATCGCATATCACTTCTTGTTATATCTTTTTTAAATAAAGCCAATCTAGGGTGAGTTGGAAAGATTAGTATTAAGCAATGCTCGTTGCTTTGCTGTTAGGGTTTTTTAATCCGTGGCCAAGTGGCTTTAATCAAATGAAAAAGAGAGTCTTCTTTTCGTGTTTCACTTATAATATACTAAATATTGAATTCAGTGTGCCGGTTGGCTGCGGTGCCAGCCCAACACCAGATTAATTAATAAATCGTGTTCTACAGATATTTTATATAACATATATATATATATGTATATGTATCTTACATAAAATATACATACATATTATATATATATATATATATATTAAGGAAACTGTAGAGATATCATACAGATACGTTCTAGAAGAAAAGAAAGAAGGTAAAAAGAAAAAGGGCAAAGAATGGGGGACAAAAGAAAGAAGAAGTCGTCTTTTAAAAGTCTGATGAATTGGAAACGCAGTTATATGTGTTTTTAAAATTCTGAATCCGACAGGAAATTTACAGAAAGTTGATCTCAGACTACTACCCCATCTGCATGCATGTACTCTTTCTTATTTTGTATAAAATACTCGGTACTTTTCACGTTTCAGTTTCTGTTTCTGTTTCATTTTCATTAGTCTGGTTGGTAGTAGTTCAGCTGCACACGTAGCGTTAGTTTGGTATTCCTATGCTTTTAAAAAAACTGCTTTTTAACTGTAGAAATAATCAATTGTGAAATAATACGTCTAAAAAAATTAGGGCTTTGGGTTCTTGGCTGAATATATTAGACATTCTTTGTTCATATAATGTGATAATCAGTTGAGT